CACTTTCTCTAAATCCACAAAAACACAATAACAGGTAACAATACTCTTCAAATCCTAAAAGACACTGAACTAGAAAATGACTACTGCACTGTTTTTGGGGGGTAACTCCATTTTGCTTGTTTTTACGGTTCCTTTACAGACTGACAATTTCAAAGAAAAACAAAAAAAGCACAACAGGAAAGAAAATGACTAAAATTTATATCTAACAGAAATATGAAATTCTTTCAAACAGAAGCCATCAAGCTCACTGTGGGCACCAGCACCTCCAAATTTTCTAATTACCGCCATTGATTTACACCTTTTTTATACAGGCTGGGCTGGTGTGTTTCTTACCAGCAGATCACTGTCACAGCCGAAACTGACTCCCGAGCTTGTCATCCTCTTCAAGTCGATGTGAACGCTCTGGGCCTTCACCTTCCTGAAACAGCCCTTCAGAGAATAGCACCTTTCCATCTCTGCCTTTAATCACCCTTATCTGTTGCTCATCCTTCCCATCTCCATCTCTCTGTCTTGCTAATCTGTACAAGTCCTTCTCACCTTCCCTCATGTCTAACCTGGCATACAACTCATCATATGCTTTCTATTTGGCCATTGCCACCTCCCTCTTCACTCTACGCTGCAATTTCTTGTAATCCTGTCTACTGTCTTCAGTCCTTTCTACGTCCCACTTTTTTTTAGCTAGCCTCTTCCTCTGAATGCTGTCCTGTACTTTCTCGTTCCACCATGTTTTGTAATAGTAAATTCCTTTTACATATTAACATATAGGACTCATATTACGATGATTATTACTAAAGTTTTACATCAACTTGCTGAGGTGGAGATTAATTTTCCTTTCTGACAATGTTCAAATAGCCTAACGTTAACAAGGGATACGGTTGACCTTGGTGTATTTGGAATCATGGGTGTTTACTGCCCTCTAGCGGGCGCAGTGAGTACTTACAATGTAAAAATTTGTCAAGGCAGCGTCAATGTAGCTATGACAGGATGCTAATACTTCTGGTAAATACTTTCAAAATAAAACGACCAAATTGAAAACGAAAATATAATGAAAAGATCATGTATATTTCAGTGTGTTTAGGTTGTTTACTGCCACATAGTGGTCACAGTAAACTAAAGCACATATTTGTGGCTAATGAACAGGAATACCAGTATAAACGTTGTTATTGTTGATATGTGCAACTCATAGCTCTGTGATCGTTGCAAATAACAGTAACGTTAAAATCATCATCAACAGCCACCATAGCAACCAAGGTTTTCTGATATGGAGATCCCTAATTAGTTAATTTCTACCCTTCTAAACAATGCCCATTTGGCGAAAAGGGAGATGTAGTTGAATGTATCAAGAATGCATTCAGAATCAGGAGTGTTTACCGCCCCCTTGTGGTCGAAGTGAGTAACTAATATATCAATTTTGTCAAGGCAGTGCCAATGTAGATATAACAGTATGTTAATACTTCATGTTAATGATTGTGTCTGTTATTCTCTATTGGTCACAGTTCCTCAGCGGGAATAACAGATATGTAGACAGATGACTATGACCATTTAATGGTTTAGTTTTATGTTTATGAATGGCATGCTAATAAATAAAACACAAGCTCATTTCTACAAATTTTACACCATTCAACAAAGACTTTATTTCCAGTTCAGCAAATAATTTACTGCCTTCAAAAGAGTGTATTTGTATATGAAGCAAAGAAATGCTACTGATGATAAGAGAAGAATAAGTCTACAAAGCAACAGTCTCCAAGATCCTTCATTTGGTACAGTGAATGATACTGCATTCACTGTTCAAACAATCATTCGTAAATAAATACATAATGCATCACAGCAAGCAGCCCAATTGGTAGTTTTTCATCAACATAGTGCATACAACATCAAATCTGATAACAATGATAACTGTCAATAACTCTAATGATAACAGCGAGATTGAGCAGAAGCAATAAAATTTACAATCAGTGCATGCTCTAAGCATAATGACATTCATGTTCTCAGCTTTTCTTATAGGTCATGTGACAGTGGGTGACAATGCACTCCAGAAACAGCAAAGAAAAAAAATAAGCACGTTCTTTGTAAATACTACTGCAACAACAGATGAAACACCTAGGGACATTAAATTATTTAACATTATAATTTGGCACTGAATTTTCATTATATATAATGAAAATATATAACCCCCAGCCACCAAGTATAAGTGTACTGTATATATGAGGCATATATAATAAGTATATATATTAACCTCAATTAATATTAAGTCAGATATTTACATTCAATTTGTGTGTGTGTGTGTGTGTGTGTGTGTGTGTGTTTCACAGAGATAAAATGAGGAAAAAATGTTTCAGAAAACATACATGAAAGAATTTTCCCTTTTAATATAAGATTTTGTAAAATGTACCATGAAAGAAAAACATTCATCATGTATTCTATGCTCATGACTGTATCTTTTGAGTGTAACAAAATAAAGTATTGCCAAGTTCTCTAATGTTTTGGATTCATAATGATTTCACTAAATAAATTAATGAATTCCCCTTTACCCCTTCCCCCATTCCTGTTCTTATTCCTCCCACACTGTTAGTTTTTCTTTGTTGTCAGTTCCTTGTCCTTCATAAGGCACCAATCCTAATGATACAGAAAGCTGCGGTGCAAAGTAGGACCCATTTTTGGCAATGTAACTAATCAAAATAATGCTATTCCACAGTTGATAAACCAAAGACACAATGATGGTAAAACAGAAAGAAAATTAAAAATGAATGTTGAAGGGCGTGTGAGGCCTTATAATATTAACCAATTCATCATTCAAAAACTGTGGATTTTAATTCTCACCAAGACATTTTCTCCTTTAAATGGATACTTCATACTCCCGTGTATCCTGTGTTCAAAGTAAGAAACCAATCAGTAAAAAAACAGTTAAAACAGAGAGACAAACTATTTCTAAGGAAAAGAATGAGAACCAATTTTAATGGTCCAAACAAACATAAATTCTATAGATAATTTGAAACTATTCTACATTTAAAATAATTGTACATAAACTAGCTTTAGATCTCAGATAAAAAATAAAAAAAACCCACAGGAAAGAAATGTTTACTTACCCCTGCCTCATAAAGAGGGTTGTTGAAATCTGACTCAACTGTAATGGGACTGTAGGAGTGTGTGTGAGACAGAGACTTCCAGAAGAGTGGCTTCCACTCTAGTCTGCATATGCTGTGGGTGAGAAAATCAAAGCACATACCTATAAACACACGAATAAAAGCTACAGTGCATTCATTATTGTGGACTGAGGTGAAAAAAGTAAAAGCTGTGCTGCAACAACTCTGCCACACAATATACACAACATTTGTGTACAGTGATGAAGGACTAATTGTCATTTTACTTAACCAGGGTACTTACTTTGTATAGTACATGTAAATTCCTCCAATCAGGAGGATGACCAGGATGATTGGCAGAATTATTGCCAAAGCAATGTTCTCACTCAGGATCTGATGGGACGGCTCAAATGACTGGGACACTGTAAAACAGCCAGAAAGTCACCAGAAAAAGATGCTTTTGCTATCAAATAAGACTTTTTCCCAGTTCACAGTGCACTCTTCATTTGGTAATAAATGTAAAATGACAAACTGCCAAGTGAAATCTAGAGGAAATGTTTGCTATCCATACACCAGTTAGCACACACATAACATTTCTTCATCTACTTAAATGTTTTTAATACCACCAGTAGTGCCAAAGTAAAAATCCTACATGTTTTTTTGTCAGTATATATTTTGTCAGAAGAACCTTTGACTTTATAAACATGACAGAAATGAGAAGAGGAAAGAAATCACCTTCTAATTTGTGATCATCCAAGAGCTCCTCATATGCCACTGTGTGAAATGAAGAGGAAAAAGAGAGAGAGAGAGAGAGAGAGAAACACACATTACACCTGAAAGCCCTAAATATACATTCAGGCTTTCAACACGTAGCTTTATTATTTTACTAAAATAACTGCAGGTAAGAGCACAATCCTTTGATAATCAAGAAAGAACAGCTAATGGTAAAAACATAATCTTATTAACTCACATACTGTGTTCCAGGACAGTAAACAAGAATGTTTTGACAAGAGTTATAACCCTCACCTTTGCAAAAGGGTGGAGGGCTATTCCACTGAGAGGGATGACCGGGAACACAGCTGATAATGACCTCACCGATAAGTTCATAGCCTTCGTAACAGAAAAATCGCAGAGTCTCTCCTGCCTGGTAGCTGTGCTTGTACAAGGTTTGGTAACCATTGTCAGGGACGCCGGGGTTTGGACACGGGTCATACTTTACTGTTCAGAACACAAGAAAATACACAGAGGCATTAGCAGTTAATTTGTAAACGTGCAGAAGTACTCATTATAAAAGGCTCTCCAGCAGAGTCCAGCAAACAGACTTACAGACACACTTTGGGCTGCGATCGCTCCATTTGGGGGTGCCAGTGTCTCGGCCATGGCAGGAGATTTGGCTGGGACCTTCCAGTTGGTAACCCTGGTTACAGGAGAAACGGACAACTGTTCCAACTGCAAAACCTGCTTCAGGCCGCACCGAGCGTGCTCCGTTTACCACCTCTCCTGGGTCAGGACACTGCTGGACTGTGGGGGACAATGTGGGAAAGTGTTTAATTTGATACTGCTGTTGGGCTTCAGCTGCCATGATTATCATGTCATATACTGTATAATTTGATTGATGTGCACATAAAAAGTGAACTGTAAAAAGTACAGGCTAGCTGTGTCCCTGTTTCCAGTCTGTATGCTAAGCTAAGCTAATCAGCTGCTGTCTCCAGATACATATTTACCACACACAGATCCCAGTCCTTAAAAAAAGGTTGGTGTGCAGCGTTAAACTTTCTAAAGCATGTCCCATTATATGTCTCACCCTTAACACAAGTGGGTGGACTGCTGCTCCAGGACAGGTCCCACTGGCAGGTGATGATGTCAGAGCCACTGATGTCATATCCTGGTTGGCACTGGTAGGTCAGCACACTGCCTCTCACTGGGGACGAGTGGGAGGAGCTGGTCCAGCCAAACTCAATTTGCGGGAGGGTTGGGCAGGTGTCGTTTGGCTCAACCTCTGCACGACACAGAAAGAGGGAAGTTCAATAAAATAAATGTAAAAAGTTGTTCATAATTTTGTCTTTAATAGCAGCAGACCTCATTTGTGCTGTTCAATTTCAAGACAGACCTGTATTATGTACACTGTAAAAGATGTTAATAGTTTGGCCCATGAACTCAGTTAGCTACTCTGGATTTGACAGTCATTTAAAGTTAACATTGAAAAGTCAATTTAATGCACGTTTTCTGCCATAACTTGGCCTATAATGAAGATAGGACCCTGAAATGTTCAGGTAAGATGCACAGTATAACTGCCTATTATACCCTAAAAGATTACCTGAATCCAATCCGGATCAAGGATTTTATGACACATTTGTGTTGTTCTGGATCTCATTTTTCACATTTTGCGTGAGTGAACGTTATGCCTTGATGGAGGTACATGCGCTCTCTGAGTGCACTCACCTCGATAATGAATGAGGAATCCCTGACTTAGGATAAAACTGGAATCATCTGGATCACTCTGAAACTGAATGGTGACCTCGGATCCCCCCGACACAACCTGGAAACGCTCTCTGGACCCCAGGTATTGTCCGATCACGTGAGACATGAGATCACGTCCGTCAAAAATGGTCAGTATATCAGTGTGGCGGATATTCAAGCTTTTAGAAAGAAAGATGAATAAAAAAAGAGACAAGAGGTTACACTTCAGAAAGATTATTTTTTAAGACAAGCAATCCAGTGTACACTTGCTTGAGATGTTAGAGAAAGATAACGGAGAGTAATGAGCTGAAATTGTGTATATGTGTAAACACACAGGCAATATGACTTTGACTCGGAAGGATAAACTATTGTTGATTGGCAGTTAAATATATGGTGGCCCAAGTTCCCTAAGGAGAATATTTAACCACATTCACTAAGTAATAGTTTCATATTTCTGTCATCAAGTGTTTCTACAAGTGTTCTCTTCTACAAAAACCTTTCTTGACTTTAAAGTTTTATGTGGCATGTTTTTCCCAGATACAGTATGTCCCATTGCTAAGCCCTGACATGTTATATGTTATCATTTGGCAGTGTGATGATGTTATTCTACACAGGAAACGCTAACTCATCTTTACAGCAAATATGTAAGAGCTTTATTCAACTTGAAATGTGGATGGCATAACAAATATTACAAAATGTTGTATAATGCAGTCTTGAAACACTCTTGACAAAAATCCATTAGATTGCCAAACTAGATTTAGCTTGGCAGTCCTCCACGGGCTCTGTTGGTGTCCGGGTCATTACTGCATGTTACATTAACCATCCTCCTTTGGGGCTTAATAAGATTTGAGCTCAGCAAACTAGAAAAATTCAAGCAGCATCTGTGATGCAAAGGGACTACATTACTGTGTATGTAGGACTACAGTTTCCTTCTGATGTAAGTTTGACAACTTTACTTACACTCAACAAACAGACTTGGTTACTTTTGAATTGCAAACCACATAAATGAGTAATACTCACATCTGGACATCCAGTTCAATGCGTTTCTCCTCATTACCGTGGATCTGCCATACACAGTCTAGCCCCTTGTAGTAGCTCTGGGGCCAATCTGGAGACAGGATGGTGCCTGTGGGCTCGGTTAACTCCCCTCCACACAGCGCTTACAGGCAGAAGAGAAGAGAGAAACTGAGGTGAAGACAAGCACTGGGAGACAGAGGGAAGGATGAAAGTGGTGATGAAATAACAGAAGCTGAAAAAAGAAAAGCAACTGGAGAAGTAATGAGAGAGAATGCAAATCAAGATGGTATAGAAAAGGAAAACTGATCAGGTATAGGTGGAAAGAATACAGAGAGCACTTAAAGAAGGGATATGTGCAAAATGGTATATGGCATCAGAACAGTTTATTTAAAACCTTCATCATCCTCATTAGAAACAGAAGTTAACTTGTATGTTGTATTTAGGCAGATAAATTAATGAATGTGAAGAATGTTCTCTTTAACACTTTACCTCATTACTTGACAACAAACACAGCAACTTGTGGCCTGAACAGATACAATAGCTACTGTAGGAGAGTGTGTTAGCAGGGAGATGACTCAGGGTGCAAACAGCTATAATAGCAGCCAAATGTAGCGCTTCTATTTCAAGTCGAATGCACTATTTTTCCTGTGAGAACACATTTAATTTGATTGGGTTTGGAGGATCTGGCCCACTTCACATACAATGGCAGGACTTGCTACTTGCTTGTTTGTGGAGTGAACCCAAGATTGTTCATGATGGAGAAGAACAGTGCATGAAGACGGTTACATGCGATACACACTACTTTGAGAACATATTAACTGCAACATTTGTCAAATGTATTTTAATAAAAGCATGATATAAAGAGGACAGGACCACCAGGACTAAACACTGGGAAACAGCTTTGCTTTAAGAGCTACTCTATGTGGGTGAGCTCTATAAAATATTATGAATCACAGATACAAGGTCTTGATGTCTCATTTGTAAGCAATTAAACAGTTTCTACTCTGAGAGAGACATATGTGGATGTTCAAGACTTTGTTGACAGCCATAAATTTCCTGATCTCGTCTCTATACAGAGCACTGAAATTGCTAACACACATCACTGTGTATGAGTCATTTGTGCTTTTCTGCAAGCAAAAGTAGCAGAGCTTATGGCTTTCTGAATGTCTTTCTGTCATTTTAATGCTTGGTTGAAACTATAGCACTTGTGTTCAGCCACTCTGTGACCTGGTGTAGAGTCTCTGTCAGTTTTATATTGACCAGAGTCTGTTTGCTCGCAGTGTTCACAGCATGCCAGCAGATCAGGAGATGACACAGTCAGCGTGGCTGCACCCTTCATGCAACATCGTGACGCTTCAGGTGCCCATCTCAACACAATTCTGTTTGAATATTAATGAATCAAATTGCTTCCTGACTTCATACACAATTAACAAAACTTGATTTGTTTTGCAAATATAGATTAAGCAGATTTTGGTTTATTTAAATGAAGACAATAAAGCCTAAAAAACAAGAGTAAGGACAAGAAATAAGAATGTTTTTAAGTCTGATTAGAGAAATAAAAAAACAATTCATAAACTGGCATAAGTATTTACATACTATTACATTCACTTCATCACAATACAACCAAAGCTCAGTCCTGAAACATACCTCGGCACACAGGTTCACTGTCATTCCAGTGAGGATTGCTGGGGTCGACACACTCAATTGTCCCCGAGCCTTGTTCCATGACAAAGCCTGGAGAGCACGTAAAGGTAACAGTGGTGCCGAGCTGATACGTGATGTCACTGCTGCTGAAATTTCCATGAGGCATATATGGCTCCCAGCAGTGTTCATCATCAAAAGCTAAATAAAAGACAGAAATGAAACACAACATGTACATATATATATATATATATTTATACTGATCACAAAATGCTTTTCCATATTCCCTGGAAAATCTTCTTCTCTTATCTAGTAGTTGCTCTGCAGCTTGACAAAATTAGAGAACAATAACCACTTCTCTGAGGAGCATGCAGTGCTGCTCTTCACTTGGGGTGATCCAGAATCTCAAACCTCTTAGCTAGAAAAACCCCAGGTGTAACACAAAACATTTAAGTAGTGAACATCTCCAAAGCCTAAGATCCATCCCACTGAAGCATAGGCAGACTGTCAGCACTTACTGTGGCTCATTGTGGTTCTCTCAAACCCAAACTAAGGAGAAGAAAGCCTTAATTTTCTCTACAGCTGTGGCCTATTAGACCTCATTCCAGTTAAAAATGTAATATATAATACATCAGCTATCTAACCTCTTTAATTAAATCATCTCTAACTTGTCAAGACTTTAAAGGCCAACCTTAAAATGTTTTACAGAGATTAAAATAACTTTTAACAAATTACACATCACCCCTGAGGCTTTTGACCTCATATAATTGGTGGGTTCTGGTAATTCTGTAATAAATCTTATCCAACATGACAGGCATCTCTCACACTGCTGGAGAAGAGTGCAGGCTGAGAACCCAAAGTCTCTGCACTCACCCTCGTATCGCAGTGCCAGAAGCAGAGGGATGGAGGAGGAATCGGCTGTGAGCTCCAGGTACAGTGTGGAGCTCTCACTGAGCAACCCACGTTCTGGGACATCATCCAGGTCAGAATCAAAGAGCGGTGGAGACAGGGAACTGTTTCCACTGCGCACAATTAACCTAAGAGGAACAAACCAGAAAGACGCTCAGTGTAAGAATGAGAAAATAGGAAGATGATGTGATCAGCACCTGAATATAAAATGTATGAATGTGCATAGTGTAGATATTGTAGGCTGAAGCTACATCAGCTGGTTTAACTTCCAGAACGCTAGTGTAGAATTAAAAATATTTCTTTGGTAACATTTAGATAAAAGTTTTCATTAATGGTAATTACTGTACTTATAATTGGTTGCCACAGTGGAATCCAGATGTGCATGTGTGATGTTTCACGGGTTGGGACCTGCACTAAGAAAGCACTGGCTTGTGCAGCCCCAGTGGCTGGGTGTGATGTATTGTAGTAGGCAAGAATGCTATCTCAAGACCATCAGTGCACAGGGATGTGCATTCTACTAAGTTGACTTGCTTTTACCATATTTTAAAACCAGAGTCAGAAAACAGCTTCTGTGATACACGTACCAGTGGAAATGCAAACTTACTTGTCATCATCTTCATCCAGTGCAATCCTCTCAAAGTGTAGGTGAAGTCTGTGTCCCTCTTTGGCTTCTATTAACCAGTGGCAGCTCAGGTTATTTCCATTACTGTGGTTGCTGACAGATGGAGGAGGTGGAGACAGTATCCGACCCACTGTCGCATTGCGAATCCATCCCCCACAAGACACAGCTATTGAAAAATGACATCCCACATATTATTTTTCAAAATCCACCACCTTAACAACACCACTGCTTCCACAGAGACGCCTGTGTGACTGCTGCATGTAATGCAGATCTAAATCAGTTTACTGACCGACACACTGAGGCTCAGGAGTGCTCCAGTGTGGCTGTGTGGTGTTGACACACGTAGCCACCTCATGGCCGCGGACCTGGAAACCTGGGTCACAGTGGAAGTGAGCCTGTCCTCCGGGGTGGATGTCTGTCACAGTCACGCCACCGCCCTCAGGAGACGTGGGGAATGAGCAGGACAGCAGAAAGGCTGCGGTTGTCGATGAGACAGGAAGGAAATGAAACTATTTGCTTAAAATGGAAGATAAACAGTTGAGATAAAAATTTAAAACTGATCTTTTATTTCACATTTTCTTTTCTGCTCTTGATTACGTTTTATTGTTCGTAACATCTGTCATCACGGGTCTATGTTTGATAAAGATGCCACTGATTTAGAATCACCAAAACATTTCTCTGTTGCTTTCTGGTTTCAGTGTGCAGGTTTTCATTCCAGCCACAGAAACACTTTTAACACCTCAGTCATAAAAGGAAACATGCACCAGTAAAAGTGCTATAACTGTTTAACGAAAATAAAATAAAATACAAGTAGAATCTGACACAGTCTTTGGTGGGAAAACATGCTGAAGTCATTACAGAGACCTGCTGCCTTGATTAGTGAATTTTGATCCAAGTTATACAAAATGAAATTGAAGGCTGATTTTACCTTGATAGTGGAGGCTGAACACGCCGTGGTTGGTCTGTTTGAGACTGCGATAGTGAATGTACACCTGATTGGTTGCACTGCGAATCACCTGACCCTCTCTCATCAGGGTCTCGTTGGCCAACATCTCTGGTCCTCTTCCTCCAAAACCCATGATTGTCAAAGACTCCTCCTTGGACAGATTGACCTTCCTCACCTAGAGGAAGCAAGGGGAAATAATGACACATGAGCTGTTCTAATAAATAAACTTGCTAGATCTTTCAAAAGCAAATGAAATAATCACTGTGTAACTGACACTACATTCATATCTAGCTCAGGACATACAATATAGTATTTCTCTGAAAATACTGCACCTGTACATTGACGGAAAACAATTATTGCAGTTAACTAACATTCTTCTTGAGTCTCGTAGCAAAGAGTTAATAAATTGTAGCCGATCAATCACACTGCTGCTGCAGCTGTGTCACTATTAGAATGATAGTGTATTTGCATATGACCACTGACAAATGTTTTATCTGAAATATGCAGCCAATCACAAACATTTACCTACTCAGTATAAACTACCAACGCTACCGTGTATGAGCCTAAAAATGCAATACACGTGCATAAATTTGTTTTCAAAATTTAATTCTGCACAAATTTTTCCTCTGATAAACCTGTAAACTGTGTAAAAACTTTAACTATGCTTTATTTGTTAATAAATATATTAAGCCTTATTTTTGTATATTACTTTCAGTGGTACAGCACAGAAGCCTAAATATTCAGTTCAAATAGACCATTAACATTTCTTTTGACAATTTTACCGTGGAAAAACATCTTAGAAGAGAGTTAATATTAAAAAAAACAACTGTTTATGAACTCATAATGTACATTACCTGGATTTCCACACCATAGCCAGCATACACAGTAATGCTATAAGTGCATTCCAGAGGGGAAAAGGATGATGATGATGATGCAGGATCTGGTGATTCAACAACATCCTCCACTGCTGACAAAGATGCATTGCATTGTACTATCAAGGGGAAGAAAAGGCAGGAGAAGAAAACATTGAAATTGTTTGCATAAACTGGGACATATGAAGAATTCATAGTTATCAGCAAGAATTTAAGAGGAGAGAAGAATCCCGTGGGTCTGCAGAGTTATTTTACAAACCTAGTGCTGGATGCTCACAATTTACTCAAGGTTCTGTGGTGATTAAAGGCATGTGTATATGTGCTAGAATTAGACAATTACATGGGAAGATTCAAATGAAAGGGTTAAAATGAGCCACACACACATAGCTTACTGCTGTCAAATGTAGGGCAACACTGCAGTAATTTAATAAACTTTAAAGACCTTCAGCCTGTAAGGAATTGTGGCTGGCAGATACTGACAAGAGCTGTTAACCATAAAGGTCAGACTCTGTTTGGCTGTTTGTTTATAATACAATAAAATAAAATGTACCAGAAAAGGTTGTCTGTATACAACCAGACAATAATAACATACAGAAAACATGGTTTTGTGATTTTGGAAAGATCTACTTGGATCTGCACCCTTTAACATACCGTAAGTGACAAAAACACACAAAATACCAACTGTTTTGTGTTTTTGTCACTTCCACAAGCAGGTCAGTAGTGAAAGCCACAGCCATCTTTGACACCAAAATAGCTAGATAGCCAGTGTGTCAGGTTTGCTCGGCCGCTCTGGCCTCCCTCACCTTTCCTACTGTCTCTTGCCCATTTACACTAATCACGTTCACCTGTTCCTCACTCCCTTATCACCAGCTGCACTTGATTAGGTCACTCACTATATTACCCGGTTTCACTCCTCAGTCACTTGCCAGTTCGTTCTAGTCTCTAGGCCATTTTTTCCTCCGTGCTCTTTTGTTGTTTTGTATGTATTTATCCCCTAGCCAGCTACTGTTTTGTGTTCCCCCCCATGGACTGTTCCTCCAGACCGTGGCTCCACTCTCCCCTCCCAGGCAGGTCAATGCTCAGTCGCCTATCTGTTCCTCTATTGTCTCCATCTCTCTGTCTCCACCTTCAGTAGCCACCATCACCACCGACCAGCCCAGGAGTGACCCAGCCTATGCAGCTTGGCCCAGCTCTCCATCTCCTCACCTCCTACTGTTGGTCAACACCCGGTTACTACTCATCGACAGGACTACGCACTATTTCCCTCTGTGCACTTTTATTCTTATCATCACTGTATATAATAAATCACTGCTTGCATCGAAGTCGGCTACCTGGGTCTGCCTCTTTCTCGTTCGCTCACTGACAGGTGCGAATGGCACATAACACAGTGAGACACTGCACACTGTGTTAATCATCAAAATACCAAATCAATGAAGGAATGTCAGTGAGCTCCTCCTAGTTTCAAGTTCAAGACCTTTCTCCCTGTGACATATCCCAATAACACTTACAATGTACATAAAGACATTTTGTTATCCTGCTCTGAAATATTGAGTTTATTGTTATTGCCTTAACATCTGTGTTTATGAAGCTGAAAATTGTAATAAATAGATTCAACTATATGTTTATTATTGAGGTCATAATTAAAGGTGCTGTTGTACTGGACCACATTATATTCAGAGGTGTCACCAGCTACATACATGAGAGGGTCAGAATATTAGGAACACCTAATAAACACATAAATAGGTTTACAAATTGATATAAGGCTGATCTTTAGTTTACTGTTATAGTGTCCAGTGAACTACCAACTACAATAATTATAATCACATCCAGTGTTGTAGTCAAGCCAAGTCTCGAGTCCCTTCTGTTCAAGTCCGGGTCAACTCCAGGTCACCAAAACAATAATCTGAGTCAAGTATGAGTTGAGTTCGGGTCATGTCAGAGTTGAGCTCTCATTATCTGAGTCAGACTCATCAAGATCTATATTAAACACAGCTGACAAAGCTCTTGCCATTTTATGTTCCAAACTTTTGAACAGGGTATTGCATCACCATATTGCTTGGTAACCTGATATATAAAAATCAATTATAGAAAGGTGGAGTGTGTGCTTGTGCTGGATACAGGTTTTAATATCAATATCTTATGCCAAACTGTTATGGGCTATTGCTAAATAAAAAAAATTAATGAATTAATTTGAGTCCTTGTCACCAGGCTTCCTAGTCTAAATGCAGTCAATACTCGAGTCTGAGTCCAAGTCCAAGTCATCAGTACTCAAGTCCAATTTCAGTCATGAATCCTGAAAATCTGCACTTGAGTTGGACTGGAGTACAAGTCCTGAACTAAAGTATGACAACACTAATCGCATCTTTTGTCTAAAATATATGGTATGCAGTTAGAAGTAAGAGTACACAAATTAAACTGAAATACATCAAAAGATTACATTAAAAGCATTTTGTACCAGCAAGTGCTGACTGAACTGAAGCACTGGGTGAAGCTGGGATGTGTTGGATTAAATTATTTTATTGACCACATGTCTAACTGAAACTACTGCTATGCTTAGGTAGAATCAAATTATTGATTGTAATACAAATCATGTGGAGGTGAAAGGGTTTTACAGCCCTCTGGGTGCACAATGAACAGAAACAAAAAGGTGTAAGCAGAAAGCAACACAGCAACTTGAGAAAAAAAATCTAATTGACAATCTTATTGTATCTTATTGCACAGAAGTAAAAGTGGCACCAATCTTTTCATCTTACTCTGGACAAGAAAGCGAAACTACTCCTTTAAGGTACAATTGTGTTATCTTTAATGGTGAACCTGCCATTTCCTCGCTACTTGGAAGATGTGTTGAAATTACAGTTCCAAATAAAGACAAAATAAAACCCAGAGGAACCAAATGACTCACAAACAGACACCTCACTGATCATCCTGCTCCCATGACATTTCGCTCTCCACATCTGGTGTGCATCAGCTGACACCCCACCTGCACAATCACATTATTTTAATTCTCACATGTACCCGCTGCCTGCAGTGAGACCTGCACAGGCGTCTGAGCCAAAAGAAATGCTGTGATGTTGTCTCACTTAAAAGCATTTCAAACAATCACTCATAAAAGATACTACTGGGCTCTTTGCTGCCCCGTATCTGGCCATGACAGCATTGTTTACTGACTTATACAGATTAGTCAATTTAATATTTACCTTCTCATAATATTAAGACAGTAACAGTATCTTTATTAGTGCTTATGGATTCACCTTGTTTATTATTATTTGATGCTGTAAAGACAACTAAACAACAAAGACTTTTCATGTGTCAACATGAGCGGAAATGAGACAAACAGTATCACTTGACAGCAGATGTGCAAAATTCTTTCAGATATACTCAAGCCCCTCTCAGACAATTTCATAACCTGCTTTACCAAAATCTTTCAGTAAGTCACCTGCTTTTCTTTATCTCCATATTTTGTCATTGTGATGGATATAGATTTGAAGAAAATAAATATGGCACAACAATTTCTACTTGTATTAAAAAAAGAAACTATCATCAGAGAAATGGGCAAAGCAGGAAAGCAATCTTCACCCTCATTCTGTGTATGTGTCTCTCCAAGTGTTTAAAGCATGAATCCTGAAATGCAGAAGTACAAGAATCAGGTTATTCTTGCAGGACTAAGACCAGAGGCATCCACAGACATGTCTGAACAGCTAACAATGTCAAAATGTTAGCAATGGGCTAAACAACTAAAGAAATGAAAACTGTGTAGTGTCACTTTACATCATTAGCAGGCAACTATTTTGACACCATAGCTAACTTAAAGATTAGCATTAGGCTACTAAAGACTGGTTATATAACAGCATTTCAATTTTCTAAATGTACAAGTGCATCTTTTTCTTTACAAGTAGCTCACATTGCAATCTGTTGATGTGTCATCATTAATATCTTATGACTGTTTTATATCAATTACCTTGTCTGTGAAGATCTTCTTGTTACTCGTTCTTCAGTCACAGGCAGAGAAGTGAAATTACTGAAGTTGCGTTGCGGAACTAAGTAAGGATTAATGGAACTATGGCTGCTGATGCCACCAAAATCTGAGTTAAACTCAAAACCACAATTGAAATTTTTAATTATTTGTCCAAGCATTTTTACATAAATGTATCAAAACCGTATTTATCTATTAATAAGTAACCAAGCTCAGGGGAAGCCAGGTGGAGGCATGCAAGTACCTGGCATGTGCATTGTAGTTATGGTGGTGGTCGTGATCAGAGTGGTGGTTGTCTCCTCTTCTAGGGGAAGCAAGGACATGGTATTCCTTGATCCTGTCTGGCTGGCAGAAGAAGAGGAGCTTAAAGCTGTGGTGAGCAGTCCTGGAGATATGACTGTCGCTGTTGACTCAGTCTGCCCGAGCCCAGGCACAGCTTGTGTTGGATTGGTGGTGGTACCTACAGAAAGTTCAGTTTAAAAAAACCCTCACCCACATTGCACTCTAGCTATACATAATTCATAAATGCATGTCTGTCTTTAGTGTACCTGTGCTTGGAGAAGCCTGGCCTAAGTATTCCTTACTCTGCAGGGCAGCATGGATCAGATCACCCAGAGGGTAAGAGTCTGGGGTTGATGTTGGTGGTGTATCCAGTTCAGGAGTCATAAAGCTCATACCTGAAATAGCCAGGAATAGTTGCATTTGTGTTATTTTCAAAAACAAACTTATTTAGGAAGGCAAGGCAAGTAAGTGGCCACCATATTTTTCTATTAATCAAGACGCCACTACTCCATGATTGTAGTGGGAGAATAAATGTGCATGCATTAAACAACACAAACTCACATACACACACGCACATACATTTACCTGAAACGGGATGGATCATGGTGACAGACAGCATCACAGCAAGGCATGTGAACCCCATGGCTTTGGATGACACTGAATGATCTGTGAAGGTTAAAGTCAGCAGAATGATTAATTATTATGTGAATGTGAATAGAGCAATTATTGCATCTTGTACTATTTATGTTTGTGCAGTAGCTTAACTACTGTAGAACGCACCGAAATAAACCCATGCTAACTGGAGTGGCAATGAATAGCAAATTATTAGTCATATCATGAATTATTGTCTCGTAATTCAGGTACTGAGCATATGTTTATATCACACAGGCCACACAGTGAGTCGAATTGGAGGATCATTGCGTTGTGGTACTGTAAAAGCTCAGCTTCAGCAATCTGAAAAATATACATGCAGTTTATATAACCCACAATCTAGTAAATTATAATGTAATACAATTTTTTCATGTCTTGGAAAAAACGAATAGCTTAGGCCTATGAACACATCGCACACGGTATAATGTTAAATATTCAGGCTTCCCCCTGCATTTTCTTCCCCAAATCTGCAACAACATGCCTGAAAATGCGCTATTCCAACATTCAGCAAGGGAGCATACCACAGCCGCAGGTAGACTCAGAACCTTATTTTATTTACAACCTGTTAATGGTGATGTGTCACAAAGCACCTCCGCTGTTAATCGAGGCGTTTTCTCGGTGAAAATGCCAGTCTGGTGTGTGACAAAATGATGGGGCCATACGAGGCAGCATCTTTGTGCGGAGGACGATTTTGGGCATCAGTCATCACTGGTGTGAGACCGACAACGATCTCTGCAGTGTTGAAAGGTGCCTGCCGCTTACCTTTGCTATCCAGGTTGCGTCCTGTGTTATTTTTCTGGGACTGTATCCTGTTGCTTCGGGCCCCGAGAGCACGGCAGGGTTTGCGCTGGTGAGGTGCCCCTAGCTGGTTACCTTGTGGTTGACGCATTCGGCTATGATGTGAGGGCATTTGTGTTGACGCTTCAGGCGCGCTCTAGTGGCCGGACACGGTAACTGCAGCAGCGCTCCATCCACATTTTGTCTGTGGGCGCTGGAGGAGCTGTCCACCACACGGTGCTGAAGCGTGTCCGACACAGCGCTGCACGGTATGTCAAGGTAATCAGACAGATGTTACATGCGGCATGAAGTGGGTTTACAGTGTTTATTTAAAGGCCTGCATGTGCCGATGGCGAAGATTTATGTCCTGCGATTTCCTTTTATGGGTGGATGTGTGAGGTGACATGTAATGCGGGCATTAAACATGAGGCAGCTGAGCCGTGTGGACTGGTGCAGAACAAAAACAAAATGAATGCTGAATCGATTGCACGCGAAACGATCCAAGTTCATTGTGTATTGAACACCTTTTTTATGCCAAGCCATGTTGTAGTTTATAGATATTTCCAGTGGGCAGTATCATCACTTGGCATGTAATTGATGCAACCACGAAACCGTGCGTTGGAATAAGCCTCCCATCTAAAACACATGCTCACTCAGGCACAGAAGTTAACGCACTCATTTGGGTAACTAATAAAGAAAGAAAGAAAGAAAGAAAGAAAGAAAGAAAGAAAGAAAGAAAGAAAGAAAGAAAGAAATAGTAAAAACTCCCTGTTTGACTCTGCTCCTCCAAAACTGAAGAGATACACAATATTGGCAACTCATTAATAGGCTATTTATTTTATGATTTTTAACAGTATTACATTACATTACATGGTGGTGATTATTAATGTTGGCAGCAATAACAGCTGAAAGTGAACAGAGACACATTCTTCAACAAACAGGAAGGAAAGCAGGACAACAACAAAAAGAAATAATACAATCACAATTAGATAAAAGCTGGAGCTGATAAGGAAACTGCATGTAGATAAGCAGTAACAAACAGCCAGTGGTTAAACGCTAGCCTGTTTATGTATACCTCACTGTAGCCAAAGAATACATAAGGAGTTTAACGTATTTTCAAACACTGTTGAAATTAGCAGCCAAAGTTGAAAAGTTGCAATGCAAAAATCTTGGTATGATTTCAGAATATTGCCTGAGGTAAAATGTTTAGCTCTATGCTAGTTTGTTCAGTGAGCAATGGAGCCAAGATCTGCACTTACATAACACCATGAAGTCAGCCTTCAGGGCATCAAAACCAAAGGGTCAGTGGCTCTGTGATAGATCTGTAGATCTGTCCTGAATGTTTCATTAGTTTCTTTAGTGTTTAGTGAGAGGGGCCGTGCCAAACAGTCTACAGGGACACAACGAAAACTAACAGGTAGAGAGCAGATAAGGAAAGGGGAAAAGGTGTGCAGGTGAACAGTCAGGTGACCGAGGGAAGAGGGGAAGTATCTGGGGACATCTTTAGGCAGGGTTAGGAAAGGACAGTTCACAAAATGTCCAGAGAATAACAAATGCTAAGATATAGGCCTGAGACCTGTGAAAACTTTATGTATTATAATGATTTCTCAGTCTGTTTCTATTTTAGTATCATAGTGTCCTACAGATTTAAAGGATGTACTGGTCAATGAACACACTGCCCTTACATCTATATGTTGAACTGGGTGTCCGTTCACTGAGCGGCCTTCTGTGGACTCTACTACTCCTGTTTCTGTGGCACTGTTATCGACTGGGCTCCGACCTGCAAATTCCAGGTCACACACATGCTGGAAAGCTCAAAGCAAGCTCAAGGCGGTCCATGGTGTCCCGTGGCAGTATCTGTGCTGGAACAAAGTGTAGTGCACGATCCAAGCTGTCAAGGAGCGATCAAATTACTCCCTTTATCTCCATGGAAACAGAGGAAGATGAAGACGAGGGACAGGGCTACTTCACCCCAGTGCTGAGTCACGCCTTGTTTCCAGCCCAGGCATCTGCAGAAGCCAAGAAACTGTATGCAGCACTGCAAGAGTATGCCAAACGCTATAGTTGGGTGGGCATGGGTCGCATTCATAAGGGCCTCCGTGAGCAGGTACACCATACAAAACTGCATAATGTTGTGTAAAAGTATTCATCTTACCAGCTCACTTGGAACTCATTTTTTGTTCATGGGTAAACAGCAGAGAAAGGAAGCACTGTTAAGAATTAATCACCGATTTCTCATTATTCTCACTTTAGGTCAAAGTAAATGATCACTCCGCTATACAGAAGCCTCATCTCTTCTTCCTGCCAGATGTCCCAAGTGTTCCTTTCTTTCCACGTGATGCTCATCGACATGACATTGAGGTCTTGGAAGCCAACTACCCTGCAATTTTGGCAGAATTTCAGGCTGTTTACCAGCGGGGCATTGACTCAAAATACGGCTGGACCTGTTTGGGGCCAAAGGTACACACTTAGATTATTTAGGGCCACTGTGAGACAGCGGCAGTTTCCTTTGTATAAAAATAATTTGTATTTGTTATTCAAAGTCCTATGGAAAGAACATATTTCCAACCAAATGATATAATATGTCAATGGAAACTTTTTTCCTAATGTTGCAATAAATGAAATTGTCTATCTTAGTGTTTCTTTAAATATTCTGGTATTTATTTCATAGATTTTGCCCTTATTATTAAGTTTATCTAATCTGAAACATACTATAGTTTGTCATTTTCTCTTTCAGGCCCAGGCAGTGTTTCCCTTGTACAGTGCAGGCGTCTATGTAGCAGGAAACTGTCGCTCCTGTCCCTGCACCTACCGGACACTTCTCTCTCTACGAACATTTATAAGCAGCAATTCACTGGGATCTGCTGGATTTTGGCTGCTGGGGCCCGGAGCTACGTTGGGGAGTTCATATGGCCCCACCAATACACGGCTCCGTTGTCATCTTGGTTGGTTTATCTGCATTTATCCAATAAAAATCTACCAAATTATAGTTTTGTTTCATGCAGTATTGCAATGCACTCTGCTGTAACAGCCCCAAGATATATGAAAGTCAGCAATATGAACCAGACAATGAGCACATTATATAGACAAAAGTGTTTTAAAATGTATTTTAATGGGGAAATAATTAAATACACCTCACGTGGCTTTAGGAATGCTTAATCCATATGGCCAGTACCTCCCAGAATAAGATCCTGTGTTTTTTGTAACAAAACGTTTCAGACATATCAAGGCCCAGCATACTTTGTACTTTGTACCCCTACAGGATTTAGTATTACTGACTCCATACTACAAAACAGAAAAGGATGAATAATCTGATAAAATACTAAACCATTGCATAATATGGTACTTAGTGGGTCAGAGTTGAGGTTCAATCCCCCTTAGCTCATTTTGTACTATGATCCGTCTGGCTATAATCCTCTCTGGTTTAAACACATGGCTGGAGTGCATGCCCTTCTCAGCTGAGAGGAAACATCATATTTTGTAACCAGTTTTAAAATGGACTTCACTTTGTAGGTCTACAGACTCCCTCCCTGTGTGAGCTGGTGGTGGGAGGGGAGCCTCAGTGCTGGTCAGAGGGACACTGCCTCCTGGTTGATGACTCATTCCTTCACACTGTCTCCCACAGGGGTCAGTGAGTCATAAACAACTTTGAAAAACTTATTTGTGATCATATATTACTTTTGGATGAAAGGTGAAAGCTTTTGTGTTTACTTGATTTATTTATTTAAAAAAATGCAACTACAGTTAACACAACTGGTAACATGTAAATTGGTGTAGGAAATATGTATTTCATTGTTAATTTTGGTTTTTATTTGTATAGTAAGTATTAAAAGTGAAGTTCAATGCATAATATCTGCACATAAAACAAGCAGTTGTATCTTAGGGTTAATTAAGTTTGGCTCTGTTTCATAGATGAACCTAAAATTTTATATGTCTTCTTTTAAAGGGTCTCCAGATGCTGGACCTCGGGTCATTTTGAGCGTTGACCTCTGGCATCCAAATGTGGCTGCAGCAGAGAGACAAGCATTGGACTTTATGTTCAGCCCTGACTTCTAAGTCACCACCTATATAAACATACAGGGATGCCTTATCATAACCCTGCTTGTTGTGGGTCATTCACCTAATTCAAGTCAATGAATCACTGTGCAAATCTGCTGTAAGAATTACACAAGCCATTAGCCATGCTTTCAAATGGTGTTTGATTTATGGTTTACACCAGGAAGTACCACTTGAATGTATTATTATGGATGATGCTAAACAATTTGGCTGCAAACTACAAACTGACATCATTTGAATGCACAAAGACAACTAACCTAAGAAGATAGATCTTGCTATCTATTGTAAATTGTAGTATCTTGACATGCCTTGCTAACAAATTCTATTTGCATGTGAAACCTAGTGTCTCTCATGATTAATGAAGTTGTTTTGAGCTGTTGATGCATGCGTTATACCTTCAAAATGTAAAGTCTACAGATGCTTTATTTTAAAATTTAGACATTTTACCTAAGATTTCACCTAAAAACCTGTGAAAACATTAAAATTATTTAAATGCTACTGTGCATACGGCATACTGTGGTTATACTTCCTCTTCTTATTACATGTGTGTATGTTTCTATCCATAAACCTATCAATATATTTTTATTGTTTATTATTATAATTGGTGGCTTGTTAGTGGTTTACATATTGTTCTTGTAATCCAAATAACAACAGCATCAGCAGCAGCAACAACAACAAAATATTAATAAAACAGCACTGACTCTGTGTATAAATTAATAAAGTAACAAAATAATAAATGTGTAGGTAGACTTTTGTTCATACAGTATGTATGGAGCAGACTTGACTAATCCTTTTGGGTATTTAAAGTAAAGGGAAAGCACATTTATTGTAATCTAACAAATTGTATTCAGGTATATTATTTTTATTATTGTAATTTAATAAATTGCATTCAAGTATATTATACAAAAGTCTGCTGACTATAAGAAAATATACAAGTGTATTTTATATGGAAGCCCAAAAATTGTTTCAGAGAGAGAGAGAGAGAGAGAAAACTATGTCTATAGCTTTTGATTTACAACATTTTGAAAGCACATTGTGGTTCATTAAATTCCCAGAGCTCTTTTATGGTCACTTTTTTCAGTCAGTGGATGAGAATTAGTATGGTGATTTTGTCTTATCTACCATCTGTTCATCTGAGGGTCCTGTGATGAGGATTACAGAGATTGAACTAATCCCCCCAGAGAGACAGATTATTCCTGTGATTGTTTATGTAGTTGTATGTTTCATAATGTATAGGTCATTCAACGTTGGACATTTACTCTATGAGCTGGGTGGGATTTGATGATAGCAAAAGATCCATCTGCTGATCAAATTCTGAAGCAAATAATCTGTCGTAGGTCAGCATTAAGGGATATCAATCCTGGAATAAATCTCTCATCTTAAATTTGCTCAGCTCTCCACCTCATTATCACAAGTCAAGGTTATGTGCCTTGCTGTGGCACAGAGATCTTTTCAAACCAGTGATGGTGCAAATCCTTAGCATGATATTGCCTGATTTTTTCCATTATTATTCACTACACAAATTCGTTTAACTGTTTTGTTTCCCCATTGTAGCCACTTTCTGTAGAACACATCCATGACATTCAAACAATCTTGTTTATGACTTAGAGGGATTATTTTCAGCAAAAGATGGCAAATGAACAATATACTGTAGTTGAAAAATGAACTCAGTAATATCACTCACAATGTAATATTCAGAAATATCAGTTAACCATGTTGAATGGTGGATTGATGAGCTTATAATTCATTTTCCAGTAACAACCTAAACTAACAATGCCGACATGTTATGTTTTCCAGAGGCTCTTATAAAATCCATCCATCCATCCATTCATTTTCCTCTGCTTATCTGGAACCGGGTTGCGGGGGGCAGCAGTCTAAGCCTCCTTGAACCGCCACCTTACTGTGGTGGAGGGGTTTGAGTACGCGAGTGATCCTAGGAGCTATGTTGTCGGGGGCTATATGCCCCTGGTAGGGTCTCCCAAGGCAAACAGGTCCTGGGTGATGGGTCAGACTAAGAGGAGTTTAAAAGCCCTTTATGAATAGAATCAAATCAGGGACCGTGACATCGCCCAGCATGGTGCAGCCGGCAGTGGTGGTGTTTCTTATAAAATGTCTACTGATAAAATAAAATGTAAATTACTATATTGGTGCTACTGAAGCCAAGACTGCAGATATGACCAAAGTGTGTCAGTGTACAGTTCTGCTCAATAAAATCATTAGGAGTCATGCTCGGGGAGCTTTATCATATCGATGCCAACCTCCCACCTTATAAATTTGCAAATTGTCTTTGAGATGAATTATTGTATGTTCAAAGCTCAAACACTGAGTAATTAGAACGTAAACTTCTAGAAAACATACAAATACCAATGCTAAAAAAACCAAAACAAACTTCAAGCAGATGGTGCACAGCTTTTTACACCCTGCTGAGATGGAAGCATAGGAGGTGAAGATGTGGCAGTCAAGGGGACACAGGCCCAACTGGGCTCATGTTCTTCAGGTGCTACTGGAAGGACAAATAGCTTTAATGCCAGTCAAGGTTGCAGTTGCACCAAAGGGCCCATGACAGCGTCAGCCATTACTTTTGGGAAGCCAGTATATTTTCAGCTGATTGATAGTCCTCTGGATTAATAATATTCACTGCAGACACGGCCTAAAGCAGTAGAAGCAACAGCTCCGAGAGCGACTGATCATAAACTATTGTAAAAATATGAACTGATCATCTCCTCCTGTTGTTGGGAGGAAGCATGCATACACAAAAAGAGTTCATTGTCCAAGTCAACCACACATTATTTACAAGGCAACATGAAATTCTGTGGGCTCATCTTCCAGTCATTTTTCAAAGTGTGACTAGGAACAGGCAAGAGGTTTGCCCAAATGTAAAATATTCTGGAAGTACAAACTTCATGAAAAAAACTTTCAGGAAGAGAAGTTTACACCATCTACACTACTACATACATATAACTTCATGGCATTTTTAAAGTGCTCCGTTTTCATCGTTACCTAGGTCTTCAGTACATTGAAAGAACATGCCAACTCCTGTCACTCATTTTTAATAGCAAAGATAACATGTTGACAGCATTTTGTTTTACTTTAGTCCTCCAAGGCCAGCCCACAGTGCAGCACACTCAGATTTGTTGACATTGTACTTTCACTTCTGCTGACATGCCTAGTAGCTAGAAGCCGGACATCTCATTTTACTACTGCCGGCCTATTTAGCTGCAGTGCAACCGTGTTTATCAGCTTCTCACCAAGAAAAAGTAGTAGTGCCATTCTTTTCAAACAGCTGAGCACTCACTGATCTGTGGGGCAAACTATACGAAGGCAAACTATACAAAAACAAATTTGCCAAACATGCTGAATAGTAAATATCCAAATAAAAATGCGGTGCCTATTTACAACAAAATTTCAATTATAATAATTTTATATTCATTAATAAATTGTTAACTTAAAATTACTAGACTTTAGAAGAATGTGTATGAGACAAATGCCACTTAAACAGAAAATAGTGAAGTTATCCATAAATAGGCCATATAAACAGATTCAGTTACAAACATCTCCATTTCACAGCCTTCTATTCATTCTGTCGTCCTCATTTCTGTGACATCATAATCACAAACTCTGTAAAGAGAATGGACAAAATATTAATTAGCTAAATCAATTTATATTTGCAGCAAATGGATCAATAGTATAAATGAAACCACAATAATGTGACGTTTATTTCCAAAACAAATGACCAATGCTTATGTACCAGTGTGATCTTACTTTGTAGAATGTGTAAATGAATAAGCTAATAAATGAAATATTTAACTGTCAGACCTTTTTTTTTTATGGCAGATATAACTTGGCATGACAGAAAAATCACAGATTAATCATAATTATGGATCAGATGCACTTAGGTGTGCCAGTAAGTTATACCAGTGAGATGGCGTGCACAAGGCCGGGGCCTTGTTACTGGCATACTGGAGGAGGAAATATAGCAGCTATCAATGTAGCTGACAGTGTTGTCTGTAAGAAAATTCTGTTTACTGTGTCAAATTAAAGTAATTTTAATGTTTAAAATACCCATCAATACTTGCATACCTCATATTTTAAGCCACTTTGACAGTTTTACAATATAGTCAACATTTTAAATTCTATGCTTTTCTTTAAATCAAAGACTACTGATAACCAACTTTCAACTTCCTCATGTCATAGACCAGTCTTCTAATTCAGCATTAAACAGAAGAGAATGCAAGCCTGTAAGGTTAAATCAGGTATTTTGTGCCGTTTGTGTGCAAGAGCTTGTATCTCACCCTCAAAATCAACTGTACCATCTCCATTTTCATCAGCTTCCCTGACCACTGCTTCGATTTCATGCTTGCTGGTGTGTTCTCCTAATAGCTTTACCATGGCATGCCTCAGCTCTTCAGATGTGATTGCACCATCACCATCTATATCAAACTGCAAACACAGAAGAAGAAAAAGCATTACTTACATAATGCCCTAAGCTTTAGGGAATTTGGAATGGTTTGCAGTCACAACAATGTTCTGCCAGATTTTAAGTTTCAGCTTTTACAGTATGTTCATTTAATGCCCACCATGTGGCGCCAAAAACCAACATTGAATTCACCTCTTTGAAAGCATCTTTAAGTTCCTTTACTCCTATCATCCCTGCAGTTTCAGCCAGAAGTTTTGGGGTCATTAGTTCCACAAAGTCCTCAAAGTCCACTCGTCCACCCACTGCAATAAGACAAAAAACAAAAACAAAAAAACAACAAAAATAAAAACCCAGCATTCCATTAACATTTACTTATTTTAACTGAATGTTAAGGTTCAGGCTGGGTAGGACCCAAATTGCAGAGACAGGCCAAGGAGTTGCTAAAACAGACTTTTAGTTAGGGAACTACTGACAGACCGACAAGGGGAAAAAACTCAAAAAGCTCAAACTGACACCGAGTAGCAAAACAACAATGTCCAACAGTGAAAACAGTTCAGTCAGGGAGCGAAGAAAAATAAAATCAAACTCTTATATAACAAACTGAAGAACCAAACCAAGAATCTGTAATACAGACAAATAAACAACTCAAAGAGAAACAGATAGAAAGAAGGAAGGGCAGGCACAAACAGAAGAACAAATCAAACTTACAGAAGAACATGAAATAACAGGGTGTCATGAAGGGACATAGCAAGCAGAACAAACCAGCAAGAGGCTGAGGGGAAAGGAGGAGAATATATATACAAGAGAGCAGACGCTAATGAGGGACAGGTGAATACAAGCAGTGGCGATTGCAGAATGGGGTAAAGCTGGGGCAGGTGAGGTGACACAAGACAGGAAGTCCAAACCAAAATAAAAGCAGCAAACAGGGAGCACGTCCACAAACCATAACACTGAAGACTTCATACAAAAATGTCAGTGCGGTGATATACTTGCAACACACAGTGTTCTGTCATCTTTCATAGACGTGCGCAGTTCACATTTAACTAATTATTTAACTATGATTATGTAACTTCTCTGTACTTTGTTGTAAAAGGTGTCAACAACTGACTAATACAATAAGCCAACAGACCATATATTCTGCACTTTCACAAGCTTCTTTCCAGATAGAACTAGGCAAAGAAAGGGCAGAGGAGACACAGAGCCTGAAAGACACATTTCCTGAAACTATTTCAGAACCGTACTCTTGAGAACTCCAAACTACATCAAAAAATGGCTTGGCTGTGGCATTTATTGAAGATATACTTTATAAATGTGTTGGTCAGATCAGTTCATTAAATATAAGATTTCAGCCCAACATGATTTGTATTAATAAGGAATTAATGGAATTTTGACACATTTGTGCTTTTACCTCATAAATTTGAGGACATTACTCACAATTCATATTGATGTTCTGGCTCAGTTCTATCAGCTCCATTTCAGTTGGCATGTAACCCATGGACCTCATCAGGTTCCCTAAGTCTTTACAGGTTATGAAGCCATCCTTGTCTTTATCAAACTCTACAAAAGCTTCACGCAACTCTAGACAACATACAGACACAGGGAAATTAAAAATGGCATGTAAGTAAAATGTGAAAAGCTATTGTACAGCACCCTAATACGTTCATCTGAAAACATAAAAGCCACAGTTACCTTCTATCTCATCATGTGTAAGAGTTCTTGTCTGCAAAACAACAATATGGATACAAAAATGAAATGATGTTAGCAGGCTTTAGTTTACTGCAAAATACACAACTATTGTTATGATCATAATCATCTACAGCAGTGGTCCCCAACCTTTTTATCACTGCGGACCGGTCAACGCTTGACAATTTTACCGCGGCCCCGGGGG